GGTCCTCAAGTTGCTGGTCGGCAGCATCTGGGGCAAAAACAAAGAAACGTTGTTGGCAATTGGCCGGCCGGTTCTAAACTATGCAGAGCCCGTGTTGTCGCCGGGGACTAGAAGGACGCAGTGGACGAGACAGAGATTTGCCTTTCTAGGGAGACTCGGACCTCAATAGCCCAACTTCGCTCAGGTATGAGTTTCACCTGCTGTAGTAGCCAGTTCTTGTCTCCCGAGACAGATGGATCTCCGTCGCGTCAATGTCCGGTGTTTGTGTGCCTAGAACGGCATTCACAGGTCTAGAGTCTACATAACTCGAGACTGAGTCCCTGTGAATGCCGTTCAGGGCCTGTCGGTATGCTGACGGGTCCAGAGGCTGCTTATTGAACCTCTGGACTTCATCCGTCAGTTCATATAGATGCCTTCTGACGTGCCTAGGCGAGGGCTCCTCTGCAAGCAGCTGTCTTTTTGGGTGGCCGCATCTGTGGCTTCTAACCAGTAACTGCTTGCAGAGCATTGTGTTATGCTCCCTAATTGGGTGCATTTTCGCCTCGTCATGAAGGTGGTATTCAGGTGACATCAGGACGCTGTTCTGAGTGCGGTGTTCTGTGTTGTCTGTAGCTTCATCCACTGCGTCCTACTAGTCTCCGGCGACCACACTGGTGCTGCGTAGTTTAAAACCGGCCTTGTATGTTGCCAGCAACGTTTCTTTGTCTTTGCCCCAGGTACTGCCGGCTAGCGACTTGAGGACTTTGATGCGGCTCTGTACTTTGTTGACAATAGCGGTTGCATGCGCAGAGAAGGAGAGCAGGCTGTCGAATGTTACTCCGAGTATTTTGATGTTATTCACCGTCGGAATTGGTGTATTATCGACGTGAATTCCCAGCGGTAGCATGACCTCCTTCGTCCAGGTAGTGAACAAGGTCATAGAGGATTTCGTAGGGGAGAGGGCTAGACACTTTGCAGTGAAGAAGCGAGAAAGTTCAGAGAGATATCCGTTTACTTTCGAACACGGGTCATCAATTCCATGATTGAGCAATCGTCGGCGTAAGAGACAATCGAGACTCCCTCTGGTGGTTGAGGGAGCTTCGAAATATAAAAGTTGAACAGTAGCGGGGAAAGGACACAACCCTGTGGAACCCCCTGTTTTATTTTTCTAAGTTTGCTCGATTTGTCTCTAAACATTACCGACGAGTGTCGACCACTCAGATAATTTGACGACCACCGTTTGAGCCTCTGTGGGAGAGAGGAAGCCTCTATATCTTCTAGTAGCGTGGAATGGCTGACAGTTTCAAATGCCTTTGACAGGTCCAACGCTACTAGAATCGTTCTCTTACAGGGACGGTTACGGTTAAGGCCACGAGTTATCTGAGTGTTTATGGCGTTAAGTGCTGTTGTTGTACTGTGCACTTTACGGAAACCATGCTGATGCTTCGCTGGGGTCAGGTAGTTCGTGAAATACGGGAGCAACAGGGCCTCAAGTGTCTTCGCTACCGGGGAAAGGAGTGTTATCGGTCGATACGAATCTCCTTTGTTGGCAGGTTTCCCCAGTTTGAGCAGTGAGACCACTCTCCCCACCTTCCAGATGTCTGGGATGATGAGAGTGGCCATAGACAAATTGAGGACCTCCGTTAGGTACGCTACTCCCGCAGGACCCAAATTTTTCAGCATCAGCATGCATATTCCGTCGGGACCCATGGCTTTGGAGGCTTTCGCCTTCCCGATGGCCACCTGAACTTCACCGCAAGTGAAAGAAAGGGGGGCACAATTTGTTGGCAGTTTGTGCAGCCTTTTGGTCACTCGACGCTTGGTTTTGTCCACCGGTGAATGCGGTATGAACTGCCGGCTAAAGTAGCTCGCGCATCGCTCAGGGTCAGACGGGGCATGGTCACCGAAAGAAATTTCGACTCTGTCGTCGTGCTTCGTCGGATTGGACAGTGACCTCATGGTTGACCAAAGCTTACGCACACCAGAGGTGAAGTTACAGGTCTTCAGATGCTCTTCCCACTTCCTCCGCTTATGTACGCTCACTAGTTGCCGAATCTCCGCGTCGAGATCCCTGATACGGGGATCTCCGGGATCGGCCTGACGAAGGCTGTCACGCTCATCGGCTAGAACAGCCGCTTCGGCAGGGAAATTTGGACGTGGGTCCGTGATGCATCCTGCCGGTACGAAGCGGGCTGCAGCAGCAGTAACAGCCCTGCGGAACTTACGTTCACCAAGCTGGACATCGGTTGGTGGTGGGAGAGCAGTGAAGGTGTTTTCAGTAAATTCCGCGAAGCCTTTCCAATCAGCTTTAGAAAAGTTGATATATGTTCGGTGCTCCGCGGAAGCAAAGTTGGTTTATCGATCGAGATGACTATGGGCAGATGGTCTGATGCCAAAGTCAGCATAGGTCGCCATGATATGCTGTTTATCAGACCAACGCTGACTATTGTTATGTCTGGCGAGCTGCAGTAGCTGCCCATAATCCTGGTGGGTGCGTCGTTGTTCATTGTGCAGAATGTCGAATCGTCTATCTGCTCAGCCAAATCGGTTCCTCTAAGATCGTTTGACAGGCTTGAGTGCCAAAGATCGTGGTGCGCATGAAAGTCACCTACTACCATTCGGTTTTCACCTCTGAGGAGCGCACCTATATCAGGGTGATATCCTGCCAGGCAGGAGGTAACAGGGGGTATGTATACGTTGAATATTTCGAGGTCAACATCGCCTGACCGGATAGCAATGCCTTAACATTCTAGGGTGGTATCCCTGCGGTCGATGTCTGCTTCGATAAGATGATACTGCACGGTGTGGTGCGTGATGAACGCTAAGCCACCACCATTATCTCGCTCGCGATCTCGACAATGCACGTTGTACCCGGCACAATTCAACAATGTTGAATTGCTGTGCAACTACCATGCCTTCCCATAAAGACGGTTATCTCCCCGATCTTGCTCTGGAGCCCGTTGCAGTTAAATTGAAGGAGCTTCATATGGTTCGGAAGACGTGTGGTAATGCGTGGTGTGAGAGATGTGTGTGGCCGGGACGCCATTGGCTGTGTGCGCTGCTGAGGTGGTTGTCGCCCTGTGGTGGTGGTGGGTGGCGTCGCGGTTGAGGTTTGCGACCGTGCTGCGCAACACGGGCCCTCGACGTTCCTCGTCCAATCTAGCGTGGTGCGCAAACCTGAACATGCCCTAAAGTGGCACCAGCCAAGGCAGGTGTTGCACTTGACTGATGTCACATTACGGAATATCCTGGTCTGACATACCGTGCAGATTGTAGGAGGAATCAAGAGTTGTTGGCGGTGGCGTGTGGGTGGTGGTGCGGTTGTGTGTGTTCTGTGGTCTGTCGCGGTTGTGGTGTGGTCTATTGTGTTATGTTGTTGTGCTGTGGTTTTTGTGTGGGACTGCTCAGGTGGACTGGGGTTAGCCGTGGAGGCTGCTCTGTTTGAGCAGCAGGGGGCCACAAACGACGTGGTCCACTGCCGATGTGTCCGTAGTCCTGAGCAGACTGTGAGGCGACTCCACCCCTCGCAAGTATTGCACTTGACTGAGGTGGAGTTGTGGTGTCGTCGTCTCTGGCATACACAGCAGGTGTAGGTTTCTGACCCTGGGTTTGACTCGATGCCAGTCCAGAGTAAAAGAAAACGTAGCGAATGCAGCCCTATGGACGAACAACTTCTGAGATACTTCGCCGACCTAAACGGGTTTAGATCGCCGAAACAACAGCCCTTGGTCGGGTAAAACCCGAGTCATTCCGGTACGTAGAACCGGCTGTCGTGGGAACGGCGAATTGGGAGTGATCGCTTTTGCTGAATGCGCGTTTTCTAAATTATTCTCGTCGCCAATTTAGTAAATGTTTATTAATTAGTTATAAAAAATCGAATTTACAGAAGAAAATTGTTTATTATTTTGCAAGAGAATAAAAGGTAATTTTTGCGTCAGAAAAATAATTTGACAAAAAGCGTAGTTTTTAAAAAAATGAAATTCAAAGCAAAGCAATTAATTAATTCTCGAATCAATTTATCCATTTATAACAATATCGACACCTGAACGCTATTAAGAAGTAAAATTTAAGAAAATAAGTTCAACAGGACTACACTAACTAATAATAAGTTAACAGGACCAAACCTTAGTTTATACTTGTGAAAATTAGAACAGGAAATTGAAAAAATAAATCCTACTAATATTTTATTTATTTTTTCATAGAATGGCAGCGCTGTTGGCCCACTGGCGATTGCTCCACTGCTAGGCTTGGCTATATATGGATTTGATTTTGCCGCACAAATCCCATACGGAATGAATCTTCTCATGAAATTCAGTTATGTACGGGTCGGTGTAGTGGCGTTGATACTCTCTGTTTTTGGCTTTGATCGTCCCGAATTAGAATGTGACGATATATATTGCCATTTCGGTGATCCGCGAGTGCTGCTCAAGTTTCTGGACATTGAACACCTATCGATGTGGTACCTCTTCTCGATACTCACAGTACTTATGCTCTTCTATAGAGTGCTAATGTATTTGAGTTTACGCAGACGTTGCGGTACATAAGCGATATTATTTTGTAAATGTGATTTTTAGTATTAAGTGGTAAAGTTAAGGTCAATTAAATAAAAATAAACAATGGTTTCATGGTGGATGTTAGTTGCTGCATAATCAGAAGTTCATGCATATACATAATATAATATTAATAGGCAATCTTATGCTGTGATAAATGATATGTTAATAGTGTACAATTTTTTACTTTATACGTGTAGTAATCTAATTGCAAGCAAACAAATACCCCTCTTATTCCAAAATTTTTACAAATTACATACCTAATAAGTGGCTTTGTAATTAAATTGTATGTAAAATTTTGTTACGATCGGAAAAGAACATATTGTTATGAGATAAGTAGGTACATAATCAAAGATATTCCACATATTTTAAGATGTACAAACTATTTTATAAAAAAGATGTTCTTGCGAACAATTAAATTTTTGGTATTTCTAAAAAAATAAACCCTGTTTTTATTTCACTTACATTACTTTATTATTTTTTTTTGTCTTCTAATTTCATTTAGAATGTTAAACTTACTATTTTAAAAGCATATAAATAAAACTATTTAAAAATTACACTTTATGCCTCATTTGCGCGTACTCGCCAACTTTTCTTTGCGTTTTTTGACATGCTTTTTCACTTTTACTTTGCGCTTTTCTGCCTTTGCCTCTTTGACAGCCTTCTTCCGCGCTTTTTTACTATTAGGAGATTCATCGCGTAGACGTGGTGACTTCACAAAACTTGTGTTACCCTCAGCCTCAGAATCTTCCTCATCATCACTTGAGCCAGTAGAACCGCCGACTATTTGACCTGCATTTTCCGCAATATTTTCTTTATCTTGCAAATTTTTTAGATTCTCATCTTCTATTGTTTCAGCCTGTACAAGAATATCTGGCTTTTTCTGCACATTTAGCTCGGCATTTAAGCCAGTGATTTTGCCATAGATAAGATCTTGTTTCACGCCTTTTTTCGCCTTATCCACGTCGCGTTCAAAGTGTCGCACCTAAGAAATGTTAAAATATTAATTAACGGCATTTTGTATATTACGTTGCAATCAACTTACCTCATCTAGACGTTTTGGTATATACGTGTTCTGCCAAACAGCTTCATCGATTTTTTCTTGCGCCGTAATTGCCTCAAAGTCCCGATCTTTAATCTGTTCAGAAATACGCTCTAGGCATGCCTCCATGTTTTCTTCAGTAATCGATTGATCTGTAATAAAGTCGAATAGCTCCTTCACTGTCATTGTGGCCACTGAACGTTTTCGAAAAAAGTCTGATATGTTTGCACAATCTTTGCGCAAGAAGTCGAATGCATGCGGATGATCGTGCTCTACTGACTGACTCACATCGATAATTATTAGCTGTCCATCTTGCAGCAATATATTGAATTCTGATAAGTCTGCGTGCACTAATTTGCATTTGTTATAAATACGCCACATAAGCACCACGCATTCGCGGTACAATTCACGCGCCTTTGATGTGGTCAATTCAACGTCTTTCAACTTCGGTGAGGGCCAACCATTTTTGCCACAAAAACGCATCACCAACACATGTGAGCGCAGCAGCAGTGGTTCGGGCACAGGCACACCAGCATTATGCATGCGCAGATAGTTACGCATCTCTTTCTCTGCCCAGGTACGTACCATTTTGCGTGGATTGTGGCGGCAATAGCCGTGACGGAAACGAAATTCACCTGACACATACTTGTCACGATCTTTAAAAATCAGTATGGACGTTTTATAGATTTTTATAGCATACTCGTCGCCATCCTTCGAGACTGCGTGATAAACATTTGCTTCCTTGCCAGTTGAGATGCAGCCATTGATTTCTTGTATGAAACCACGATTTAAAAGTTTGAACAGTATCATGCGCGTTCGAGGATCCATCACTTGTTCGGCAGTGGCGCGGTCATGCTTATCACGTACGCGAACACGTTCAGCTTCTTGACGGCGATCAAATGTAACTAATTTATTGGCGGCCTGCGCACTCATATTTGCGTTAGGATCGTATTTTTCTACATTTATACGTGCGGAGTAACGTCGCAGTAGTTTTTCATTTGGTTGAAAGCTGTTCAAACGCTTTGCTTGCGAAGCACTACTTGCACTTGCGGTGCCCGCAGATCCGCCAGCAGTGTGGTTGAGAGAAATTTGAGCCGTTTGAGCATTGTGCTTTTGGTAGCCTGTGTACGATTCTTCATAGTCATATGTGTCGTCACTGTCTTCGTGGTAGTCATAGTCATCATCGTCATCCTCATTCTGCTCTTCCGGACTTTGGTCACCACTTTTTTGGTTTAAGTCGTCGTTTTGTGCAACATCCTCTTTGATGTCCTTAAACGTGACATGTTTCAATGTCATCTTGTTAAAGTTATTTACCAAATTATTCTGAATATGATAAAAATGATTAATAAATAGTTTACAAAACTAACTTATTTTTTTGACAAAGATTGTGAAATCGTCGGTCCCTACGAAGAGTAGCACATTTCACTATTCGCGTGGAAGACTAGCACATTTCACTATTAGCGTGGAAGACCTGCACATTTCATTATTCGCGTCGAAAAGTAGCACATTTCAGATTTTTGCGTGGAAGAGTAGCACATCGTTATTTGCGTGGAAGACTAGTACATTTCAGATTTTTGCGTGGAAGAGTAGCACATTTCGTTATTTGCGTGGAAGACTAGCACATTTCGTTATTT